ACAAAATTAAAAGAAAAAATTCAAAAAGAGAACCCAACCCAAAAATTCTGGAATTGTCATTGTATTTTACACCAGGAAGCATTGTGTAGCAAAACCCTAAAGATGGACAATATTATGAATGTGGTAATAAAAACTGTTAATTTCATCAGAGCAAAGGGGCTCAACCATCGGCAATTTGAGGCCTTTTTATCTGAAAAAGATATTCCTCACAGTCTACCCTACCACACCGAAGTTCGCTGGTTGAGCAGGGGAGCCGTGCTCAAACGTTTCTTTGAACTGCGCTCAGAAATCAGTCAGTTCATGAAAGACAAGGGAAAACCAATGACTGAGCTGGATGACCCCGAGTGGGTTCGTGATCTTGCTTTTATGGTGGACGTAACCGAGCACTTAAATGTGCTCAATACTAAGATGCAAGGCCGCAACAAAGTCGTAACTGAATATTACGACTGCATTCGCGCATTTGAGATGAAACTAGATCTGTGGGCGACACAGCTTTCCCATGGTAACCCAGCTCATTTTCCCTCTTTAAAATCTGTGCACACCGCTCACGACAAAGACAACATGGACAGATACAAAGAAAAAATTGTTGGTCTGCAGAATGAGTTTCAGAATCGCTTCCAGGTCTTCAATGAACTTGAGAAGGAATTCTCTCTCTTCCGTTCACCGTTTACTGCGAGCGCAACAGATGTACCGGAGGAACTTCAAATGGAGCTAATCGAACTGCAGTGCAACACACCTTTGAAAGACAAATTCACATCAGTCACTGTGGATTTATTTGACCAAAACCTCAGACCGACGTTCCCCAAAATGACAGGTTTTGCGTCCAAAATCCTCAGCATGTTCGGGACTACATATCTCTGTGAGCAGGCATTTTCTGTAATGAACATTAACAAGTCCAACCTGCGCTCTCGACTCACACACAGACATCTAAATGACATTATGAGAGTGGCAACGGCTCAAAAACTGGTTGCTGATGTTGATGCACTGGTTGAAGAAAAGAGATGTCAGGTGTCAGGAAGCAGAAATTAAAATTGTAATGCGTATGTGATTTATGATGTCAAACTTAATGCGTATATTTAATGTTCATATCCAAAGCGAATGATTTTTCATTTGCATTAATTAACCATAAAGAAATTATTTTATTATTTGTTTTCCTTATATAAGAAATACTACTGAGTTGTTAAATATGTTGAAGGCAGTTTTTTTAATTGTGAAGTGAAATTATTGTTAAATTATTTTGTTTATAATTTTTTTCCTTATATAAGAAATACTACTGAGTTGTTAAATATGT